CTGACGCCGGGGCTGGGGCACCGTCGTGAGGTCGGGCGCTGGCCGCGCGCAGGGGCAACGGTGTGGGCACGAGCGAAGGCGCGTGGCCGGGCGGGTGTGGGAGTTTGGGAGCGACGGGGTGGGTGCCGGTAGCTACGAATGCGCAGGGCGGGGCGTGCCTGTGTGGAGACGTGAGTGCACTTGGTGTGTGTGCAGTGAGGTGGTGGGTTTACCCTGTGCCGACGAGGGGGGGCCCGCGCGGGGTGGGGTGGGGGGCTCTGCCTGGAACAGATGACCTCCAGGGCTGGACTCTGCAATGCGGGTCTCAGGCTGCCTGTGGAATGGTTGAGGCACAGTGCCTAGGCGGCGGCGGTGCCCACCGCCCTCATGCCGCCCCTTTCACCCCAGAGGTGGAGGGCAGGTGCTGGGGAGGGTGTTAGGTCCCTGTGGGGCCCCCAGGCAAAGTCCCTGGGAGCAGGTGCTTACTGCCCCAGCTCACCTGGCAGGTTCAGAGCAGAGAATGAAACTCAGATTCAGGGCTCTCGACTTTTAAGTCCCGAATCCTCAGTTTTACTTATTTGGCCCTGCCTAAATCTGATTCTCACAGAGCGGTGTTGGGAAACGGGCACTGGACCAGAGAGGTCAAGAAATTTGGGTTCTAGTCTAGGCTCTGCCACCCACCAGCTGAGAGACCTCAGCAGATTCACCCTGGTCTAGCTCGGCCTCAATTTCCTGGGCAGTTGAGTGGTTTCCAAGGGCCAGCCCTGTTGCAGCAGGTCTGTGATTTGGAGCACTCCCCTCTCTCTTGCCCACTTGACAGACCCTGGAGTACTCCTCCCTCTCTTCTCCACTCATCCCCCTGCCCAGCTGAGCCCCGGCTGCTTATCCTTCCTGTCTTTCAGACCCCCACCCGTCCCACGCAGTCCATCCCCTGCAATGGGAATGGAATGTCGACGCTCAAGTGTTGACACTCAAGTACCGGGCTCTGAGGGGAAGGTCATCAGAAGAACATGCCTAGTGTCAGTCAGGGTCTCTGTAGGGTAACAAGGAAGGGCTTCCCGAGAGAGGTAGGGGCCACAGTCCAGATGCAGGAGCTGGCTTTTCCTGGTCAGCATTAACAGGATACTCCTGAAGCATGGTGTGATGTGGATAATTCTAGCCCTCAGAGATCTCCCTATAACTTCATCAGCTCCCACCTCAGCTAGGGGCACCCGGGAGCCTGCCCGCACCCCAGGGTCCTGGGGGAGGGACTCCCAACCAAGTGAGCCCTGCCAGTCCTCCTAGATGTGTCTTCAGGGCCCCTGGTTTCTAAAGAACCCCTCAGAGTCATTGTGGGGGGATGTTAGCTAAGTGGGGCTCTAGCCTTTGTCCCATCCAGAGTTGCTCTACTCTGTTTCTTATGTTGGTTTTTCTTTTACTATTTCCTTTCAAGAAGGGATTTGCTGGTTAAAACAATTTAAAATTCAAAACCTTTGTTCCCATCCAACTCTGAAATGGGCTAAGAAAAACATGGAGGGTTGTTTTGAGGATCAGATGAATCAATACATGGAAAGCACTTTGCATTTAAAGAAATGTGAGCTATTAATATTACCACACTGGGGAGTGTAAGTAAAGCCTGAAGAGGGGAGGGCTTGCTAGAGCCACGTCCCCTGTACTTTGTTAGAGCAGTCAGAAATCCTCCCCAGCTCCTCCCTGTAGCTAGATGACCTCAGGGCCTCTGGTGCCAGCTCTGTGGCGAAGACAGGAGTTTGGAGGGTGTTATCCCATCTCTAGAGCGCCTCCTTTAGGACAAGCGCCTGGTTCTCCTCCAGGAAGGCAGTTTTGAGGTGGCCGGTCACCGCACCGTGTGCCGCCGCTGCCGCATTCCTGGAGGACGTCAGAGCCTGCTTCCAGCTCTGTGCCAAAGCCGCAGGTGGGGACCTGCTGCGTGCCGTCCCCTCAGCTGGCTTTCCTGGGCGCTCAGGCCTGGACTCCCAGTGCTGCGCACTGGACACCCCTGCTGTTTTCTCTGATGCGCTCAGTCTCTCAGGGCCTTGCCCTTTTTATGTTAACCTTGAAAGCTAACATGGATGGTTATGTGCCTGGGACTGATCCCATAGCCACCCGTGAGGCCGGTACACTAAGTGTGCATTCATTCATTTACAGAGGGCACGTGGGTGCTCTAGTCCACCAGCTCAGCCTGCCTATCCCGAGGCAGGGTGAATAGAGTCCTGAGATGTGTCCCCTCCCCCCAAAGTCTCCCCCCCCCAGCTTAGCATCCTCAGTCCATCTTCCCTTCTTGACCTCAGGGCCCTCCTGAGCTTGCCCTGGCCCACCTGCTGGCCAAGTCCCTTTCCTGTGGTCTGCCACATCCCCTGTCCGTGCCGAATGGGCCATGCATGATCTCTGCATCCCGCGGCCGTGCTGTTCTCTTCTCAGGGTGGCCCACCCCTACCTAACTTCCTTCTTTCCTGACCACCAAGACCCAAGGCAGCTTCAGGCCTTGGGAAACCTTGTCGACCCCTGGGGGACTGGCGACCCTTCTCTGACCTCCCACAGCATCAGGGACTTTGTTCCTGTCACAGGACTCACTTCACTGGCTTGAGTCTGTTGGACCATCTTTCCCCTCATGAGATTTGAGTTCCAGAAACCCAGCCAGTGCTTAGGCCATAGCACAGGCTGGAGAAATGCTGGTCGAGTGAATGAGTGAATAATTTGTCCCTACTGGTGACCGTGACTGGCCCAGATCCGGTGGTTCCCTTCCTCCCTCTCCTCGGAGCAGTGTGGAGCGGACACCCGGAGCCTGCCCGCACCCCAGGCCCTGTGCCGGCCCCTCCTGGGCCTGGGTGGTCCGTCCTCAGCTCGTGAATTAGTCATTCATTTCCAATGCTGTCGTAACAAGTTGCCACAAACTTAGCAGCTTAAAAAAATGCCCATTTATTATCCCACAGTTTCTGTAAGTCAGAAGTCGGGGCATAGGGCGGCTCGGCTGGCCTTGCTGGAGTCTCACAAGACCCAAATCAGGGCGTCGGCCGGGAGGCACTCCCTTCTGGAGGCTCTGGTGGTGAATCTGCCTCCGAGTTCATTAGGCTCGTTGGCAGAATTTGTTCCTGTGGAGATGTGGGACTGAGGCTCCCATGTCCTCGCTAGCTGTGGGCCGGGGACATTGTCAGCCACCCGTATTTCCCGGCATGTGGCCCCCTTCAAAGCCTCCCACGGTGAATGGAGTTCTCAGGCTTTCTGGTCTCTGACCGTTCGGCTGCATCTCTCTCCTGCCTCCCTTTTCTGTTTTGAGGGCTCACGTGATGACATTGGGCGCCACCAATAAGCCGGGATAATCTCTCTATTTTAAGGTCAACCTCGTAGTAAACTTGATTCCATCGGCAAAGTCCCTTTACAGCAGCACTTCGATTAGTGTTTGCATGAGCAGAGGACCCACGGGAAAGCTGGGGCATCTTTATTTTCTCATTTTTTAATTTTTTTTTAAAGTAGGCTCCACGCCCCACGTGGGGCTTGAACTCCCGACCCTGAGATCAAGAGTCGCATGCTGTACTGACGGAGCCAGCCAGGGGCATCTTTAGAATTCCATTCAGGCCCAGCGTGGCTCTTCCTTCTCCGAGCTCCGTGAGGGGCCACTGCTCTGGGAGAGCCACAGGGAGCCTTTGCCCAAGTGCCCTCCACACACAGACCAGGGGGACAACGCTGGGTTCCCCGGGTTGCCCTTGGCGACACCTGGGTACGCTCCCTGTCCCACTGGGCCAGTCCCCCTGAGCAGCTAGAACCCGGGTAGGATTCAGGATTCGGCCATGGTCCCCCGGCCCTTTGCTGAATGTCCTCTGAGTGGCAGCTTAGGGCAGGGGGATGACCTTTACAGAAAGCCCAGGGGCATTTCACTTTCAGACCCCTTTGTGAGTTTGCTCACCTCAGCTCTTTCACGGGAAAGTCACGGAGCACCTGGCCCTTTGTGTCTGCCTCAGCGCCCGCCATCACCCCTTGGCCCTCAGTCCTTAAATGCAGCAGGCTATCACCTCTGCCTGCAGTAGCCTCCTGCCCCCTCTTTGGGCTCCCCCACTGGCAACACACACGCGCGCACACACTCTCAGCGTGCTAGTGGGCCAGGGGCACGGACTCCAGAATCCCTCGGGCCAACGCAGGAGTTCTCGCTCGGCCGTCTCCAAGCTCTGTGACCTTGACAACTAATCGAGCCTCGGGCCCCCATCTGTGAAATGGCAATAACCTCACCACTTGGTGAAGACAGAAGGAAACAATGTACGAAAACCCAGAATATGCTCAGTTCCTGCCCCCCGTTGGTGGCTACTGTTTCTGCCTGGGCAGCAGATGCAGCGAGCCTCCTTTGGCCTGTTTCCCCTGCTGTGCGGTCGCTCCCTCGCCGGGGCATCATGATCCCCTGCTCATCCGGCTGCCCCAGGTGCTCTGTGCCTCTCCCAAGGGCAGGCCCCCATCTCTCATCTCTGGATCTGCAGTGTCCAGCACAGGCCTGCACAGAGTAAATGTATCGGGAAAGCACAGGCGGCC